AGAAATACACATCTGCTTCAGACATTTATTTCCATTTAAATGACACGTTGAAAGATCCAGGAGCCAATTTGTACCACAAAGACAAGTTATCATCAAAGACTCTGGAAGTATCATCATGTCAATTCACAAGTCTTGATTTCTTAAACTTAAATGGTAGCCTTTAGTTAAAACAGACCTGAGAGAAGAAAAACTCCAAAGGATGCCTGCCCTATAATCCACCCTGGACTTCTCCTTCCCGACGAGACACCTCAGTGGACACTGCCCCACCCCACAAGACTCTGAAGTGTAGGGTCCCACTGCTTTGCTCCCACAATCCAAGGGGATCAAGAAGTACCCATCTTTTAAAAACATAAGCATGCCAACATTGTTCAACATATTTTTCTACACATATAAAATCAAAATAAATTTAAAAAAATATTTTTCCAGATACAAAATAAATATAGAAAACATCAATGTAAAAACAAAAGACTCTCTAGTTTAGACCACACCTTGCCAGACCTTCAGGAAGAGTGAATGATCACATCAGTGTACAACCCAGGACTCACCCAGTGAAGTGCATTATTTTCATAATTTAATTTTTATTAAAAATAAATATCATTGTTAACTGATAATAAGTACACATACCCATTTCCGAAATACGATGGCATAAGAGTTCAGCACAGCCCCCTAACATACAAGGAAATGACACTTCCAAATATCATCCAGTGACATGTAAATTTAATTTCACGTCTTTTAGAAAAAGCAAAATTCGACCACAAAGTCTCCTCCAGTAGCATTAAGTAATTTCGTCTTGGTAGATTTTACTGATGTCTTATCTGAGCAGGTGAAACAAGTCACCTATTTCCCATCTGATATTTTCTGGAGCAGAATTGAACTGAGAGTATCACTGTGCCTTTGGCTTACCTCTTCAGGGACTAAAGGACAGGACCCCTGAACCAACAGGCCTAACGCTGGCTTTGCTGGCGGAGGGTCTGAGCCTGGCTGGTCCACGCCACACTGGCCAACTCAACTCTGCAGTTCTTCGACCAGTGAATGGAGGTAGAAGAGATGATGCAAACAGCGTGACACAAAACGTTACATTTCGCTATGGAGTTCATTCTTCTGCTTGTATTGAAAAGTGATTGTGTCTGATAAGTAGGAAGATCGTTTTTTAAATTAATTAAACACTAATTTTTTTGTTTGTCAGTCTTCCGAGTGGCAGGTGCCAGGATGCACTCCAGCTCCCTCCTTTGGGCGTGGCTCTTTCTCCTGGGCGGAGCGTGGACAGGTTCCCTTCAGTTTCAAGGCCAATCTGAGAACAAAAGCTCCATTCCTAGCATCATATTTCAACAGCAGGAAAACAAACAGAAACTCATGCCTTGCCTCTGCATTCCCGGGGCCACACGCTGCAAATCCTTCTCTCTACATTCCCAACAGAGAATGCAAGCAGCTTTCATATCCCAGAGACACAGCTGAGAGCTTACTTCAGATATACCTCAGCCCATAATAAAGCTTCCTAGTGTTCATATAGAGATTTGGGGTCATGTAGAATGAAACAGACATAAAAACAAGTCCCAACAATAATGAATAAAAGAGGCTTCAGGAACTGGTGTTTGAAGGAACCTTACAGCTCACCCCCAGGCCACCATTCTTTCTTGTGATGAGAGCTGCCTTGTGGGTGCCTGAATACTACCTTTGGGAGATCCCCTTAGGATCCTATAGATAATTATCAAGTATCTACTCTCCAGCAGGCACCATGCCACAGACCCAAACAGAGGGAGGAGTGAGGCTGGAGGAACTTTAAAATCTGCCAGGAGAGACACAGCCATGGAAATTGCTATAATGTCCATTCTGATGTAACAAACGCTGAAAATGAATTCTTTATAAAAATGTTATGGGAAAGCAAATACTTGCTGCTACAGTTTGAATGTGTCCCCCACAGTGCATGTGTAAAAAGAAACTTAATCCCAGTGCAACAGTGTTGAGAGGTGGGACCTTTTAAGAGGTGACTGGTCAGGAGGGTTCTGCTGTCATGAATGATTTAATGTTATTATCAGGGGAGCGTCAGTCATTGCTAGAGTGATTTCATCAAAGCAAGTTTCGCTCTTTTGCCCTCCTGCCCACCATGACACAACACAAAGGCCCTCACAAGAGGCCAGTGCCATGCTCTTGGACTTCCTAGCCTCTAGAACCACGAGCCAGATTAATTTCTGTTGTCTGTAAATTGCCCAGTCTGTAGTATTCTGTTACAGCAACACAAAGCAAACTAAGACACTTCCAAATGGGGAACATGGAGAAAATGTAAACACTGTCTCATCTATTTTTAAAATGAGGAGGGTGCATGGCAGCTGTTATATTAAATCAGGCTTGTTAATTATTTACTCTATCACAGAGCAATAGGCTCTTGGCATGGAGGGCCCAAAGCCTGGATTTTTTTCTTTGGGAACTGTGTATCAAAGATTCTAAATAATATTGCCTCCCCAGTTCTTGCTTGTAAAAAATGCATCGATACTCAATAGGCTGGTTGATCTGTTTTCACTTTATTTCACTCTAAGTGTTCCACCTGAAAGTTGGAGTCACATCCTTCAGAGATGACTGGAACGTCTCTGAAGGATGTGACTGTGGACCACGCCTGCAGCTGGCTTCCACCTTACTGAACAGGGATGCAGGGCACATGGCTGTCATATAACAAATGTGTGACTGATGGTGCAAAAGTGAGAACAAATGAGGCCCTCAACTCCACCCTGCCATCCCAACAGCTGAGGCAGTGGGGCTGCCTGCTGTTTTGCATACCAAGTAATTAAACTGACCCTCACTCTTTGCCCTTCAGGGACATGTGTGGGGCAGTTGACATTGATCAGAACCAGCTTCCACTGAGCATGGTATCTCTAATTAGAACCTCGGATCTGTCTGTCTGTCTCTCTCTCTCTCTCTCTCTCTCTCTCTCACACACACACACACACACACACACACACTTGGATCTGTCTCCGTCTACCTTATATACACACACACACAGGCACACACACAGATCTGTCTCTGTCACACACACACACACACACACACACTTGGATCTGTCTCCATCTACCTTATACACACACACACACACACACACACACACACACACACTCAGATCTGTCTCTCTCTCTCTCTCTCTCTCTCTCTCTGTCACACACACACTTGNGTCACACAGACACACACTTGGGTCTGTCTTTCTCCATCTACCTTTCACACACACACACACACACACACACACACACACACACAGCATGAATGTTGAGCCCCGGGCTTGTTTTGCAAGGGCTTTAGACAGGGAGATGGAGAAAGTGGGCTGGACTGAAGAGTTCATTTTCTGAAGCCAGACGTTTTTGGGGCTGCCACCTGGAACCTTGAATGACCTCAAGATAGGGTTGGCCAGGACAGGACAGGTCAGGGGACCCAACCTAAGGGAAGGTTCTTCCTCCTCACTCATGCTTTCACATCGTTTCTCACTCTCACATCCAGACAAGACAGCACCATGAAACCCTCGTTGGGCTGGAACCTGCCTTCTGCAACCAACTAGCTGGGAAGTCCTGGGCAAGCTGGTAGGTCTCTCTGGGCCTCGTCTGCATCCCACATAAAACAGGTGGCAGGACCAAATGAGCTCTAAGTTTCCTTCAAGTTCTAGAGTCATGAAATAATGTTTTCCTAAAGAAAAAGAACTATTTGTTGTATAAAGAAATACACATCTGTAACCCCAACTATACACAGGCTGAGGCAGGAGGCTCGTTTGAGGCCAGAAGTTTAATGCTGCAGCAAGATCAGGCCACTATCCTCCAGCCTGGGTGACAGGGTGAGACCCTGTCTCAGAAAACGGGAGGGGAGGGGAGGGGAGGGGAGGGGGAGGATGAAAAACAATGGGAAAAACAATGGGTTTCAAAGAAAATCCTTTAAGAACAGCAGAAGCAGTAGGGAGGACCCACGCCTGTCCTCACTTGTCCCTGGAGCTGGGAGCCGTGGGCTGACGCGGTGAAGGCCAGACCCAGAGCCAGCCACACAGAGGTGGACCAGCCTCACCCACTGAGACCAGTGGCCACACAGACACAAGCCTAACAAGGAAGACCACGAAACCCAGACCCAACCCTACTGCCAAACAGACTTCTTCCCCCTTAAAGTACAGTCATCTTCAGAATGAGAGGCAGCCCATCCTTTGGAACCGAGGGCCATGGCTCTTGAATCTGGGCTTTGAAAGACAAGCTCAGTCCCTGATTTTTTCCACCTGAGAAGGAGGCTTTTCTGAACATGACCCAGTGTGTTCAGAGCAGCCAGGATGAGGAAACACATCTGCAAAGAAGCAGCTTAATCCAGACACAAGAAATGGTATGCAAAATAGGACGTCAGACCTACTTTTGCAGTGAATGTGGTCAAAACTACTTTGCAGCAAGTAACTTTTCCTGAGTTCAAGTAAGAGTTTAGTCCAACATTTATATGTGACACAGCCATGTGAGGCCTCTTCTCTGAATACACAGTAATATCTGGTAAAGTAAAAAATAAAAAAATAAAACAATCATTTCTATAATGAGCAGCAAGATTGCTTTGCATGTCACGTGACTGTGGCTGAATGGGCAAAACCTCTTGCAAAGAAGTGCCTTGGTTTCACACAACCCTGCAGGACAGGCTCGCGTGAACCTCTGGGCGGGAGGCAGCAGAGTAAACTGCAGGCGAAACAACAAACCGCAAAGTTCAGTTGTTCCTTGGCCAAATGAGAAACTCAGTGAAGATGAGCTTGGGTCAGGCCTGGGAAGCAGACACAGAACGACCCCGCTTCACCAGGGCCCTCTTTGGGGCTTTGTGTCCGAAGGGTCCTTGAGAGCATCTTGACGTAAATCCAGCTGAATTCCCAGAAGGCTCCCAGAGTCCCGCATGAACCATGTCTGAGTCCAACTGCCCTTCCGTTTGAACTGAGAGCCGTACAGTGTTCCTGGGGCCACAGCTGGTCCCTATTGATTGAAATCAAGGGACAGCTGGGGTGAAGAAACCAGAGTGCAGCAGATGGCTCAGAAGAAACATCTCGCTCGCTAAGAAGGTCAGCAGTGTGGGCAGTCTGTACAGTAGGCCAGACTGCAGTGGTTTTGAGCCTAATTTATACATTTTCAGGAACGCTGTACTGCCCAGAGCTTGGCGTTTTCCTCAGTATGTGAGCTGCATCCACTGTGGGGACATTTCCTGGGATGAAATTTGGGTTGCGTTGAGTACTGAGTCCATAACACAGACTTGGTGCCCAGCTACATCCAGTGCCATGAATCAGGGAGCTGGGAGGGGTCTCGTCATCCCAGGCTTAGCTCTAAAAAGCACAAGGATTGGGAGCTGAGGTGCAGTGGACTCTGGACAGGGACAGAAGGACGCTGGCTTAGAGGTCTCATCATCACTGTCCCCTCCCGAGGGAGGCAACATGTGGGAGTGGTCCAAGTCAGATTCTAACAGTGCTCGATTTTCATTCTTGCTCTTATGTTTGCTGGCTGTGAGCTTTGGGACAAGTTTCTGTACCTCTCAGCAGCTGTTTCCTTACCTGTAAAATTCGGATGGTAATACCCATCATGTCATAGGATACTGGCCCCTGAAATGCAGAAATGCAGGTCTATGTCAGACAGTATGTAGAGTGTGTGCCCAAGAGACAGAGTCTATTACTGCCTGGGACACCAAGTGGGAACTACTCAGTGGCTTCATGAACACCAACATTCTGGCGTGGATTTCAGCACTAAAAAACAGCACCCTCTGTCCCGCTCCTTCTTCCAAAATCTTGCAAAAACTATCCCCACAGGTTATCTGAAACTTGTCCAGATGTGTCTCTGGGCTCGCCTCAGACAGCCGGACAATCTTCCTCCCGGGAATTCTCTAGGGCCTGCCAGTGGTCCAGGAGATTCCCGGGCTTGATGAAGTGGCAGGCCACGATTCTCCGGAAGTGGCACACGGAGAAGCGCAAGCCCTCTGGGAAAAAGGTCTGCTGGGAGTGGAGCTCCTCTAGCCTGATGTTCAGCCTTTCCAGGCAGAGCCCCACGAACACGTCTTCCAGTTTAATGAATGGGACACTCTTGGAGACATTGTACACCTGACTCGCCACGTCGCCAGAAAACACGTAGCCCGTGCCGGAGCAGAATGGCGGGTACCTGTCCCACGGATATTCAGATTTACTGACAAACCACTTACTGAACGGCTTCCTGATGGGAAGCTCGTTGAGTTTCAAGTAGCCAGTGAAAAACCTGGTTGTTCTGTTTTTCTTCAGAAGCAGTTCGATCAGATAGTAGACATTGATGAACATGTCTGAGTCTGTTTTCATCACAAACGCCACCTGAGGACAAAAGTGATGCACCCATTCCATGCCCATCATGGTCTTCAGGGTCAAGTTGTAATAGGCATCTGTGAAGTCCTTCTGGATAATGTCCCCATGCCGCTGGCTCTCCTGGTCCACCTCTTTCGTTTCCACCACACTGCTGGTGGTCCCCAGGAGGAAGAATGTCTTCACCTGCCTTCCGTTCACCGTCCTCTCTTTCCCCCACGTCTGCCGGATGGCCATGCGCGCAGCTGACTGTCTGTGAGACGAGGTCACCAGCAGGACAAGGAAGGGGGGTGTCTGCCCGCAGTCTGTATCTGGGAGCTTAAGGAAGTTCCTGTACTCTTTCTTGTAAACAAAGGGATGCTCTTTGAAAGGATTCAGACTGTACATGCTAACATACAAACAAAGAGCCCCCAGAACCACAATGCAAACATACATCAATCTCATCTTCGGGCAAGCCATCTGAAAGGAACAAAATCCAATGAATAGACCTCTAAAGCACGAGGATGTGTCTAGTTTTATGCTAGGAAGCTGAGACGGGAGAGGAGACCCGTGTTTTGGAAACTCTAGAACCTCACTGAATACGGATGTCCAGTGCTGTGGTTAAACAGTTAAGCATACAGGTATGACATCTGCTAGCATCTGTCACTTCATGGTGTAAGATAAAAAGCTCAGAGATTCTGGGCATTGGTCCTGGCTCTGCAGCCAGCAGCGGTTAGTGCATGGGAGTCTCGGATTTCCTGTCTGTAAGGAGATGGGACCCGGCCCCTCACTGGGTCCTCCAGCTCTGCCCTTCTATGACTCCATGATGATGCGCAAATAGATAAGCTGCAAGTCTGGAAAGCACGCATTGTGCACTAAATGTACGGGCTGCCGGCACTCTTCCCTGATCTAATTAAGCGGCATTCCCTTCCCAAAAAGCAGCAAGTCTAGTGCTCTGATTTGCACAAGTACCTTCAAATTCCGTCTCTGCCAGAATTATTATTTTTTTACGTGACTTTTACAGTCTCTGATCTGATTCTTTCCTCTTCTGCCCACCCGTCTCTGCTATCCTCGGCAAGTTCAGGATCATCCACGGTAACGTTATGACATTAAGAAAGCGTATAACTCACTTTTTGCTGGGTAAGAGGAACCTCTGGTTTGAAAGTTAAAGCCACAGTGTAAATGCCAAGAGGAAATTTGTTTCAAAGAACTGTCAGCGTAGGATGGTCCACACTTATCAGGTTCTGGGCTTGGTTTGTTTACCAAAAATGACGATTCTCTCAGGAATCACTAGGAAAAAAAAAGAAGAAAAAGAGTATCATTCAAATCACTCATGCCTTCCCAGCAGGCCTTCAGAGTTTACTGTGTCTATCGTGTCACCTTCCCACCTACTTATGTGACTTTGAGCATGCATTTGAGCCCCAATCCCAGCCTTACTTTTCTCATCTGTAAAATGGGTATGATCAAGGCAAAGTCCAAAACAGTAACAATATGCCAACCCCCAGAATCCTTCAGGCCTAATGATTTAGGATAGCACCTACTAGCTTTTTAAAGAAACATGGTAAACTCATAGATTAGAATCTAACTTCTCACCCTGATAATTTATCTTATTTACATAACAGAGTCTATCGTTAATGCTGAGAGAATTTAACACAGAGAATAAATCTAATTCTTAACTCAACAGCGACACCTTAGAAATGTTATCTGGGTGAGAGGACAGAAAGAACAGCAAGAAATGAAACTGGCAGAGTGAAAACAGGGTTGGTTTGGGTTTTATAATTTTACTTTTATTTCAGAGTCCAGATGTCATTCTGTCTTCTAGGCTGGAGCGCAGTAGCACAATCACAGCCCACTACAGCCTTGAACTCCTGCACTCAGTGACCCTCCTGCCTCGGCCTCCCAAGTAGCTGTGACCACCAGCACATGCCACCACACTCTTCTAATTTTATATTTTTTGTAGAGATGGGGTCTCACTATGTTGCCCAGGCTGGTCTCAAACTCCTGGGCTCAAGCAGCCCCCTGCCTTGGCCTCCCAAACCACTGGGATTACAAGGCCAAGCCGCTGTGCCCAGCCAAGACCTGGTTATTTTGATGGCCGAAAGAGCACCTCAAAATTTCATTGTCAAAATTCTGTTCTAAATACGTTCACCAAAAGCAACATGGAAATAATAATGGAGCTTTCTAGAACCAGCTCACTCTCCGCCGGGGTGGCACAAGTAGGACACGGTGAGCTGCACATTTTTACTTTTTTTTTTTTTTTTTAAATACATGTTTTAATCTTATTTTAAAACGGTGAAACTAGCTGACAATTTTTAAAACTTTTCTACTAAGCAAAATAAATTGTCAAGTCTATTTCCACACTCCCCCATCTAACTGATGTTTGATCAGCATCCTGTGGCCGCTCACCCAGAACCACGGGACAGGGCCCCTGGCTCAGCTGGGACACTTGCTGGTCACCAGCGAGCCGGGCGCTGGCATCTGCACGCAGGTGTGAGCAGGGCGCCTATGGCCTCCCTTGGCTAGAAGGGAATTTCAAGCATCCCCACCCAGGGAGGAATGCTTTCTTTCTCAGCCTTTCCCATCTGCTCATGGCAGCTCAACCAAGAACTGTGGACAAAAGTCTCACTCATCGTCCCCTTTCAAGCTCACAGATGCTGCTGCTGCAGCCATGGGACGCTCCATGAGGCACTGCCCTGGCCACACAGCCTCGGGAGCAGCCTGTGCCCACCTTTTGCAGATGACCGGTGAAGGCAGGAACCCACTCCATTGGAAGGACTTTCATGTCACCTGCAGCTGTCACCTTCAAATAAGGTCACATTCTGAGATAGTGCAGGTTAGGATTTTCATAGGAATTTTTGAGGAGGGAGCCCTGACTCACAGTAGTGGTACTTGTGTCTTGGCTACCAAGATAAATCACTTGCATTTGTTTTATTTTGTCCCTTAGTTGAAGAACAGAGCCCTGCACCTTCATCCCAGGCTTTTCCACTGCCTCAGGAAGCCTCTTCCAACCACCTCCCCTGGGGCAGGAGGGTCCAGGTGTTAAGGGGTTCCATGACGAAGAAGACAAGTCTTTGCGGGGTTCAGGGTTCACAGCATGAGCCAAGCAGTAACTGGGGCCCGACACAGCAGGGTGGTGCGTGAGGTCTGACGGAGACTCCAGGCGGGTGGCTCTGGATCCTCATCCCAACCAGGCCTCCACCTTTGTATCTCCATGTGTGCCTCTGCACTGCCCAGTTTTAGCAGGAAGCCTGCAAAGTTGGTTTGGCCAGGATCCCCCACCGTCACTATCTGATCGGTTCCTCATCCTCTCCCCTCGGTGTCTGGCCACCCTGGTCTGGCTCCTACAAGGTGGGTTCAGCCAGAATCCCCCTCGCCCCTGGGATCTCCTCTTAGAAACTTTCCACCTGCTGAGCCTCCGCCTGCTTCTGGGCTGCACATCCCCACTTGTCCATGCTGTATTCAGAATTCAGCCCAGCTCTATACTGAGGTCTCTTTCCCCTACTGCAATAGGTCCTGAATAGAATCTGTCTTCACACTCTACCTCCTGTCCAGCTGTGGCTTTTCTTTAATGGGTCAGGGGAAAGAACAGAGGTCCCATCTGTGAATATTCAGGGAGACCTGTTCCAGGGAGGCCGGCAGGCAGAGGCAGGGAATCCAGAAGGGCCCCGTGGGTTCCAGAAACAGCATGGTGTGCAGAGGGAAAGCTGGGAAAGGAGGCTGGAGACAGGCAGGGCAGCTCAGAGCAGCCTAGAAGAGCATGTGAGCAGTATGGACTCCGGCAAAGGACATCAAGGGGTCCACGGTCCTTGTCAGGGTTTTGTGGCCCAGGAGTCTGGAGTCCAACACGGCCTCTCTGTCCCATTCATCGATACAACAGAGAAGCCTCCAATCAAACTAAGTGATAGGGGAGGAAACAGGGATTTGTACACGTGATCGCTGGTCTCAGAACTGATGAATTTAGACCTGGAAGGCATTTTCAGAATTGCTGTAGTCACCTCAGGCTGCCACCACAAAATACCACACACTGGGTGGCTTAAATATCAGAAATGTATTTTTTCATGGCACTGGAGGCTGCAGTCTGAGATCAGGGTGCTAGCAGAGGGCACAGCGGGTTCTGGCGAGGGCCTCTTCTGGGCTTCCTGCAGATGTGTCCTCACAATGGCAGAGAGACAGCCCTGGTGCCTCTCCCTACAGGGACTCTCATCCCATCACAAGGGCTCCACCCTCAGGACCTCACTGAGCCCACTCACCTCCTAAAGTCCTCATCTCCAATCACCATCCCTTTGGGAGTTAGGGCTTCAACGCAGGAATTTTAAGGAGACAATATTCAGTCCATAGCAAAGATCATCTCTCAGCATTTATTGAGCACTTGCTGTGTACAGTATGGCACTGGTCATGGAGAGTGGCCATGGGGGTTTCCCTCAACTGTATGGAGGGCCAGACTTGCCTGCCAGAACTCACCGCAAGAGGGAAGTGCTGCGTTCTTTCGCCTATCCACTGCGCTTCATGCTGGGAAGATACGCTTAACCTCCTAGGCTCTTTTTTTTTTTTTCTTGAGATAGAGTCTCACTCTGTCACCCACACTGGAGTGCAGTGGCACGATCTTGGCTCACTGCAACCTTTGCCTCCTGGGTTCCAGCAATTCTCCTACCTCAGTCTCCCAAGTAACTGGGACTACAGGCACCCGCCACTATGCCCGGCTAATTTTTGTATTTTTAGTAGACGGAGTTTCACCATATTGGTCAAGCTGGTCTCGAACTCCTGACCTTGTGATCCACCCACCTCAGCCTCCCGAAGTGCTGGGATTACAGGCATGAGCCACTACGCCCAGCCACCTCCTAGACTCTTATTCTCCCCTGACATGGAGAAGACTACCTCACCCAGCCTTGGGACTCGGATTCAGACAATAAGAAAGAGAAGGTGGGCATGCTAGGAGGGTCTGGCCCCCATTCTGGCTTTGTCCCCTCACCTCACCCTACAATCTACCCCTGCTGAAGCTCTATTTTATTTTTTTTAACTTAAGTACATTTACTTGGAGTTCTCAATCTCTGAGCAGCCAAAAGCAGAGTCAATATTTTTATAACCGAATGTATTTAAATCTCTGATGCATTCTTTTCTGATTAATAACTCAAATAACACTGAACGATTTTATTGAACAACTTTGTCACAGTGCCAAAATATGGTGTTCATAGATTTAGGAAGGCCAGTCTACAATGGACTTTTTTTTTAAATAAGCCTTTGATTACCCAATAAGCTAAGAATCAAAGTATTGAGGTCTTTCTTCTGACCCAAAACTAAACAAAACAAATTAATACCACAGCAAAAGAGGATCACCAGAACATCATCAATAGGGCTGCTGATTATTCTGTACAACGAGCCATATTAGAAAACCCTGAAAATTTTGTAAAACCTTTGTAACTGTCTATATCTAGTGAAATAGAAGGAGGACAGTATCTTTAACCCCACATAAAACACCTTGGAAACAAAGATAAGCGCTTTCTCCCAAAGAACATCTTCTCCCAGATTATTCTGGAAGCTTGTGGCCCTACTGGTAGACCCCTAGACTCTAGGCTGCTTCAGTAAGGTATCCATGAAGAATTTGAGAGTGACAGGAATTCAGCATGCAAGCCACAGGCAAAGGGTTGGGGGAGGAAGAGGAAGGTTTTAAACAAGAGGCTGGGCATGATGACTCATCCCCATAATCCCACCACTTGGGAGGCTGAGGTCAGTGGATCACTTGAGCTCAGGAGTTCAAAATCAGCCTGGCCAACATGGCGAAACCCTGTCTCTACAAAAAATAGAAAAATTACCTGGGCGTGGAGGCACGCACCTGTAATCCAGCCACTCGGGAGACTGAGGCCCTAGAACCAAATATTTAATTAATTAATTAAAACAAGGGAGTATGATCATTCTAGAAACTGGCCTGCTGGATTTCAATTTAAATGAGGCATCCTAAACAAGGGGCAATGGAAGCAATATCCGGCGCTCAGACTTAACTGTGCTACATGAAGCCATCTTAACTCTACAAGGCTAGAGATTTTCTTCTTGACAAACAAGTTTAGCAATTCTTAAGATGAGAACCAAAGACTCCTTCAGTTGGCTGGCAAAGTCCTGCTGTTCCAGGTGACTTCTCCTGCCTCCTCTCGGCCATCAGGACATCCTGATTCCCTTTCAGTTGTATGGAGCTTTGTTTTGGTTTGTTTTTTGCTTTTTTGAGACAGGGTCTCACTCTGTCACCCAGGCTGGAGTGTGGCAGTGCCATCTTGGTTCACTGCAACCTCCACCTCCCAGGGTTAAACAATCCTCCTGCCTCAGCCTCCCAGGTGGCTGCGTACCAAGCCTCCCAAGTGACTACAGACATGCATACCACGCCCCATGAAATTCTGTATTTTTTGTAGAGATGGGTTTTTGCTATGTTATCCAGGCTGGTCTCAAACTCCTGAATTCCAAGGATCCACCTACCTCCATCTCCCAAAGTGCTGGGAATAGAGGCATGAGCCACTGCACACAGCCCTTGACCCTCCTGCTCTTTCCTGGCTTTGCTTTCTTCTTTCCCTCCCTGCTCAGCTAACTCTTCCTTACCTTTAATCCTCACTTCCTTATTAACTACTCATAGCACCTTGCATTATACTGTATCACTTTAATTACTGGGATTGTATTTTTTTAATTCTTGGTAGAAACCTTGGAATATCACTTACCTTTCTCACTAGTCAGTAACTGCAGAAGGTCAGCAGGGACCATTTTCTGTATCTTTCATCATTCTGGACAGGGTGTGGCACTTAGAAGCCCAGTGGAGAGTTTTAAATGAACAAATGAGAAATGAAGCTGCCCATGTCTCCAAAAGTCAAATTATACTTCTTTGTGACTTGGATACATTTTCTTCCTTGAACACAAATGCTGGGTTTCAGTGGCCTGTCTTCCAGATGAAACTGTTGCACGAAAAATTTCAGAGTGTTAGGTAATTTTGCTTACGTACACTGCATTAAGACTTCAATTATTCCTCAGAAGATAGAGAATCTGGCGTATTCAGTGGAGGAAGAAGTAACGTCAAAAGTTTCACCCCTGCTGTTCATACAGAGGAGGCTGGTGGGTGATTACAGCCAGAGGGAGCTCCTCCGGAGCGCTGAGAAGCAGCTGTCCAGGGCACCAGCTCGACAAAGCTGCAAAGGCAGCCTTCTACCTTTCCACACCAGCGGGAGACCTTTGGTCACACCATGCGTTCTCTGTTCTTGCCCTTGAAATGGAATTTTTTAAAGTATTGCAGAATCAATAAAAGAGATGTTTTCAGAAATACTTTACTCCAACTGTGCAAGGGGCAAGAGTAAATGCATCCAAGAGCATCCCACCCGTGCTGGGAGGCAGAGGGTGGCTGCGAAATCAGCGTTTGAGCCTAATATTTCACTGAGAACGTTTTAATATGGGGACCTTTGCTTAACAGAGTAAAAACTGTTATACTAACAAAGTGATCTGCCCTGGGTCGGGACAGTTGGGCTACCAGGGATGCTGACAGTGAATAATTCTTCTCCCCTTTTGGCCACTGCCTGTCCTTTGGGTATGGTATTTCTCAAAGGTTGTCCCAACTGGAACAGGGACAATAAGTTTCTATCCAAAGTCCACCATAACTCCCCTAATGTGCCTCCCAGCTAGCAGAGATTCTGCCAGGAGCTAGTCCAAGAGGTGCTGCTGGTCTGCAGCACCTCGGCATGTCCAAGCCACCTTGCACAGGTGTGAAATGCAGAGACGCCATGTGGTGTCAGCCACAGAGACTTTCCACACACACCAAACCACTGCTGAGGCCATCCCCACTGGTTATTTTCCAGATGTGAGGAAACCAAGTCATCCATCATGAACCACTACGTCCTGCTGGGAAAATTTTGATAAGGAAGAACTTAAGAAAAGAAGCCATCTCTAGCTAAGACAACAAGGATAGAATTTCCTGCCTCCCTCCAAAGACAAAGAAAAGCTTGCACACTCAGGCTGAGACCTGAGGCTCAGACTCCGGGAAAAGGAGAAAAGAAAACAAAAACATCAGCTGAGAAAGTTGTTTCTGTTCCTGGACCAAACTGCATGGTAGGAAGAGGGCGACTGTGCCTTTATGTGGCTGCTGCCTATATATCAAACAAGGCTCTGGGAACGGTCAGGAAAGTATCATTTTTGACACAATAGAGACGTCAGCAGCAGGGTGAATAGACACAGGCCAGTGGAGAAAGACGTGGAGTCTTCCAGCCATGACTTAGGGAGCACGTTGCTAACCAGGTCATGCCTGACGCCTCCATTCCCTGAGGCTCATGCTTATGATTGTGACTGCATCATAATTTGGGCCAATCATCTGACATGATGACCACCCCCCAACCCAGGCAGTATAAGAAGAATGAGAAGAAATCGGGGTGGGCCAGTCAATACACATCCTTCCCCAGCCAGACACTCAGTGCAGCATGGTGCAGAGGCAGAAGCTTGTGACCCTGGGGAGGCCAGTGCTGGGGTCCTCCACTCACCGCTGGATAATCTTAGCAAATCATCTCTTCTCTCCCAACCCAAGAGCTCATTTTTAAAAGATCACAATGCCCAATCTGAAGGTGGATGTGAGAATGAAATGAACGCATTCATGGCACACAGCAGGAGGCTAATAAATGCTTGCTTCCTTTCCCTCCTTGCGCGTTACAAGAACACAAGACATTCCTTCACTCTCTCCAGGAATATACGCCATCGTTTCCAAGGTCAGACAATGGCTCCGTAAGCCGCAGAAGCTGTCTATGTCTCCCATCACTGTACCTTCGCACTTTTTGCAATGAAATTGTGAAAGGAAAACAAATCTTGAGACCCCCAAACCCACGAAGCCAAAGAGAAGAGTCAAGCTGGCAACTGGGTCATGCAAGCCTGCCTCCCATTTGGGTCCCTAAATAAGATGGCGACCAAGATGAAAAGCTACATACCTCCCTCATATTTTGTCCACAAGGAAACTCCTTGTGAGCCCCAAGTTCTTTACCCTAAAACATTTCTGTTAAAGTTTGACCTGCTAATGTCAATTAATAGTTTATCTTCACAGGTGCGGGGGACATAGGACAGAACTAAAGTCATCTCTTTGCCCACCCGAAACAAATGCATATCTGATTGTTTCGTCTGCCCTATGGTCTATGTTACCTTATCTAGAAATGCAGATTCACCGAGCCAGACAAAGGCATGAATGAGTATTTACCCACCTCTCACATGAAAATTGCATATTTCTTAATATCCTGCCCTTTCCCCTGTGAAGACCTCAAAATCAACTTAGGAGAAAGGCATAGACCTGTCTCCCAGGCACCCATCCTTAACTTAAGCAAATAAACCTCCTGAAATGATTGAGACTTGCCTTGGTCATTTTCCTTGATTGACAAAACTGTCCATGTCAATCATTTTCACAAGAACACAAGATTTTTACTACAAAGCAAGCCACAGAGAGGAGCAGGGAAAATTCATATTCTCCCTGCATACCAGCCTCAAGGGGCTGTGGGAAGGTCGGGGAAGCAGGCACCATCTTCTCTTGCCAAATACCAAGCACCTTCCCTCCACAAGAAGCATCTCTCCCCGTCTTCAAGCACACATAATAAAAAGCTTTAAAAAGTTCAGCTGTCTCCTAGCAATCTGTGACATGCTTCAAAACTTGGGAAGGAAGATGCTGACAGCGCGGAGCATATGCGTACACTTCTTTTCAAACAATAACCCACAAATGAAAGAGGAAACTCAAATTCAACCAGAAGAAAAAGCTCGATTGTTCTCCCGTCCGCCTGTCACCTACATCGAACAGCTGCGAAGGCAGAGGCACACACGACAGCTGTTTCTGCCAGAGGTGCTAATGCTAAGCCTTTTCACACAGGCTTTTCTTTTCTTTTTTGTTATTCTTTTCTTTTTTTGAGATGGAGTCTCACTCTGTCACCCAGGCTGGAGTGCAACGGCACAATCTCGGCTCACTGCAGCCTCCGCCTCCCAGGTTCAAGAGATTCTCCTGCTTCAGCCTCCCAAGCAGCTGGGATTACAGGTATGCACCACCATGCCCAGCTAATTTTTGTATTTTTAGTAGAGACAAGGGTTTTGTCATGTTGGCCAGACTGGTCTCAAACTCATGACCACCGGTGATCCGCCCACCTTGGCTTCCCAAAGTGCTGGGTTTACAGGCATGAGCCACCATGCCTGGCCCAGGCTTTTATTTTCATCAACATGAAACTGCGCTGCCAGGCTTTGTCCATCCTGCGACGCTGCCCACCTCCATCAGTGTCTCCACAAGGCCCTCGCCAATGGCCCCATCGGGTCCAGTTTAGTATTCATTCCATTTCATTCATGTAATAGACTCAAGCTACCCCTCCCTACTGGGTCTGGCCCATTAGTAAAGAACATTTACAAAATCTATTTTTTTTTTTTTTTTGAGCCAAGTTCCGACTCTTTTGCCTAGGCTGGAGTGCAGTGGAGCAATCTTGGCTCACTGCAGCCTTGACCTCTCCGGCTCAAGCAATCCTCTTGCCTCAGCCTCCCAAGTAGCTGGGATCACAGGCACACACCACCATGCCCAGTTTTGTTTGTTTGTTTTGTGTTTTGTGTTTGTGTATGTGTGTGTGGGTGTGGGAGTGTGGGTGTGTGTGTGTGGAGACAGGGGTCTCATTATGTTGCCTGGACGGCTCTCCAACTCTGGCTTCAAGCCATGCTCCTGCCTTGGCCTCCCAATGTGCTGGGATTACAGGCATGAGCCACCATGCCCAGCCAACAAAATATTTAAAATAGGCTATTTTGACTAAGACAAAATCAAAATTATCCCACTTCCTCCATATGTTAATCCATTTTAAAAAGTGAGGAAAATGTTCTTGTCTGTATTTTCTACTGTCTTCCAAAACAGCTGATCCTGCAAGTACTTTCCAAAGAAAGAGACACAGCAAACAGAAATATCCAAAAACAAACAAAAAAGGAAACCTGAAAATCCAAATATGAGATATGCAAGAAGAGGGACCTCAATGTGTGTAACTCCTTAGGATACCATACCTCAATTGCTTTGTCCATGCAGTTCCCTGGGGCTGGAATGCCCTTCCGTGCCTTCTCAGCCCAGTCATCCCTACATTCTTCAGATGAAATGCCCTCCCATCCTCTCAGTTTCCCCAACGCAGAGATAAATAATGCATTACCATTTATTACTAACTTTATATATGCTTCTTCATAGCAGTAATTATGTTGTAATATAAAGGACACTATTTTAGGAACCTTTCAATCTTCATTTGCTAATTCTCGTACCTAGCTCAGAGCCTGTGAACCTAAGTGCAATATACACTTAACGAATGAATGGATGTGATAAGAGATCATCTCCACAGAAACTAGCCAAAGGAGACATTATTATTTAAACTTGAAGCATGTACCCCGGTATATGAAAAATTTTCCTACAGAAAGTAACAGTAATGGAGAAAGCTACTGCAGAACACAGACAAGTCAAATTGGTATTCTGTTTTAAAGAACTGATGCCTCTTTATTTTTCAAGTATAAAATGGGGATGATTAATTCTACTTGAAGCTCTGAGATTTGCAACCAAAAGAGCAAAAGTCCTCTTAGTCTGGTTAACAAAGTATAGTGTTTAAAACATGAATCAGGCCAGGCTCTGTGGCTCACGCCTGTAATCCCAGCACTTTGGGAAGCCAAGGCGGGCAGATCACGAGGTCAAGAGATCGAGACCATCCAGGCCAACATGGTGAAACCCCGCTTCTACTAAAAAATACAAAAAATTAGCTGGGCATGGTGGTGCGCACCTGTAGTTCTAGCTACTCGGGAGGCTGAGGCAGGAAAACTGCTTGAACCCAGGAGGTGGAGGTTGCAGTGAGCCGAAATCACGCCACTGCACACCAGCCTGGTGCCTGGTGACAGGGTGAGACTCTGTCTCAAAAAAAAAACTAACAAACAAAAAAAACACACAAGCAAA